ACAGACAGATAGAGACAGACAGACCGACAGACCGAGACAGACAGGCACAGGCAGACAGACACAAACAGACAGACACAACCAGACGGACACACACAGACGGACACAGACGGACACAGACAAACAGACACTGACAGACAGTCAAGACAGACAGACAGAGACAGACAGACAGACAGACAGACAGACAGACAGACAGACAGACAGACAGACAGGACAGACAGACAGACAGACAGACACACAGACGGACAAACACACAGACGGACAGACAGAGTCAGACCGATAGACTTTTCAGCTATAGTGCTCTGCTTTGATGCCGTCCAACAACACTGTTCTGTTTAAGGATAAGACTTCCAGAGCCTGCAACACCTCCACAGAGCAGACAGCAGCCAGACAAGAACAACCTGCTCATGGCGACACAACGGCATGCAAGAAAATTATCTGAACGAACAATCTGACAGAGCGATGCACAGGAACAAAATCTGCTGCAACCAATTTACAAATACAAACATGTTCTGAGTGGGCCGCCTGCTCCATCAGCAGGCGACAGCGGAGGTTGCTGGTGCTACAGAAGTCGGGACATGTTGCAATAAGTGTATGGGAACGGGTTTGAGTGAGCACAAAGTAGTTTGATAAGGATCGTGAGAATATGAAGGACGTGTCTCAGTGAGAACCACAGGTTTGGACGTATGTTGGTAAGGATAAAAAAAGGAATATCTGAAAACAGCAGAATAGTCGTGCTTGCAACATCTTGCAACGATGAAACCGGAGCTGGAAAACTGCGGCACGATAGAATATGTGCTTTTTCTAATCCAATAAGGTTTGGAAGTAGTTTGATAAGGATAGAATGTAGAGGACGTATTTGTACGAAAGGTTGGGGCGTATTTAGATGATCGTGCTTGCACGGATGAAACCGGAGCTGGAAAACTGCGACACGCACAAAAGCTTTGGACGAGGTTTGATAAGGGTAGTGAGAATATAAAGGACGTGTCTCAGCGAGAACGAAAGGTTTGGACGTATGTTGGTAAGGACAAAATAGGAATATCTGAAAACAGCAGAATAATCGTGCTTGCAACGACTGGAAAACTGCGGGCACGACATAGCATGTGCTTCTAATCCAATACGGTTTCTCGCGGCACTGGAATTTCGGCACTCAAATCCTGACGCGCGTCCTCTTACAAGCCTCTTGCGTGCTTTTCGAGTGGCCCTAAAATCGGTCTTCAAAGCCTCTTTTTTGGGACATGCTCCCGGTACTATGTCCCAACAATTTCGGAAATTTTATGACCGCGAGCATGCCTTCCGAAAATTTCGGAAATTTTATTACCGGGAGCGTGTCCCCCTCGAGCTACCAAAATTTCCGAAATTCTAACACCGCGAGATTTCCTAAAGCTACCAAAATTTCGGGAATTTTAGTAGCGGGAAGAATTTCTCCCGGTACTAAAATTTCCGAAATTTTAGTACCGCGAGACAGGCACGCAAGAGGCTTTCAAAAGGAAACGCGCCAAAGGACGAGGTTCCAAGGGCCATGGGCGCGCACAAAAAAACAGAGGTGACCAGCACGACACCGCTTTGTTAGAGAATTTAACATAATCAATACCCTTCATTTAGATATATTCATATCATATAATATTATTCTTTTCATCTCTTATAATTTGGATATATTTATTCAGTTTTTATAAATCTATCGAAAATTTTTATAATCATTTAACCACGAATATATATATATATATATATCAATTTCGACTTTATAATAAAAATATCCTAATCGACATCATTTCTCTAAAACTATAATTCCTCATTCCATATTTTTGGTCAGAATTTCAAACCCAATTCGCACCAAAGCCAATTCTTATCAAAGGTTTGACATATAATTAACTGACTACTACGAGAAATGAGAACTTCAATCATTTGCAAATTATGAGTTTCTTTGTTACTTGAAGTAGAATCCTTCAGAACATATAGGTTGTTTAAAGTAAGTTTTCCTTTTGCCAAAATATTCAAAATTTCTTTAATATATGCTTTCTCATCCTTTCATTTCATATTATGAATCTCTTTGTAGTTTCTTCGAACACGTCTCATATAGAAAAAACCTAGAGTACATTTTCATGTTTATTCCAAACATTCAATTTCTAAACATAAGTTCATGGGCTTCATTTCTTCTTATACTACATCTGAAAAGATTATGTGATTCGAAATACGGCCGACATCTTGAAATTGTCGATTTGATACCACGATTTCTTAGGTTGGCTGGAGATATGTCTTGGCCCATCAAGAAACATACTTAAGCAATCGATCCGCGGCTCGCAGGAAGTCCACCATCTTGTTGTTATACTTCACCTGTTCAGGCTAGTAGAGTCTCTCCGCGGTTCTCCCAGCATGTGCAAGTGCATGCCTGCTCTTCTGGGACCAATCTGTTGATGTCCTGCAAAAGCAAGCAGAGGACAGGTCCTGCAGTTGTTGGGTGACAAGGAACTGGCCGGTTTCATGTTGTTCACGCCAGACGATGCCTTAGTGCGTGGAAGTCTTCTAAAACAGAACCACTGCGGACTGATCTGAGGTTGGAACTCCGATGATGTTGTACCGCGCAGCCAGCATGATTCTGCCTACCCGCTCGGCATCTGGCCGTGTGTCCTGGAGATGAGCGGAGAGAGATGGAAACACGATCCAAATAATAGGAAAACTGCTACTTTTCATGTATGTTTATTTTCGCTTGGTGCCGGGGGCTACTATCTGCTTAGATGCGCCATCAATCCCCATGCAGTCTGACACACACACACACACATCAAAGTTCTTGTAGTTGGGTGTGGGGGGTTGGTTATGAGTGCGCGGGGAACGCGTGGAACAAACGTTGGTGCGGTGCAAATTTTGCACTCACGTCCTACGCCTTATGCAGTCTGGGGAGACCCAGATTCATCTCTTGGCCTCGAAAACCTTGAATGCCGCCAGTTCTGAGAGGAGTATGTTGGCTGTCCTCCTGAAGCCCGCACGTCTTTGGGGAAAGCGGAAGCGCCGCGCTCGTGAATCCCAGCCCCGCTCGTGAATCCCGGCAGTACTTTCTGACTCCACCAGTCCTTGAGAGAAGCAGCTTGGCCGTGGCCGATCCCGCCAGTATTCGGGGAAGCATCTCTGCATAGACACATACAAATATGATATACTACGGCCTGCTCCCAGAATCAGGAATGATGACTAGTGGTTGGAATGACTAGACTGACTAGACTCAACCAACTTTTGATAGTGAGGGTTGAATCTCGACTGAAGGTCCCCCAGCTTGAAGCAAAACTGAGTACTGCTATCATCCAACGTGATCATGCAATATTGAACGCTGCGGCAATGAGTCCTCGAAGACTGCAGCTGCTACACTCGCCAATGTGTCACACAAGCATGTCACGAATCTTACTTTGCATTTACATCGCATCCTGATCGAGCAGATCATAGATGTCATCCAGGGCTGCGCGGATTTTGTCAGGCCTCTGCTGCCAGAGTTCAAGCGGATTGAAAGTGGACTGCCGCCGATGCATACGAGCAGCTGTGGTTCGAAGTACGGGGTGAAATCTACTTCTGGATTTGCCGTGAATTTCCTGGCGAAGTGCAAGCATTTTGAGGAAACTATACAGGTGTCTCGGAGCAGCAAATCTGCAGGAGCTGCGTCAACAAGGACTTGATCTTTTCACGGCACTCTTTGATGAGGCCGATCGCCTCGCAGCAGGCAAACATGGCGACTCTGCATCGTGTGTGGTTGCAGGCTGTGCGCATGCACTCACTCGTATGTACATGCGAGCTGAGCATGTTCAGGCCTTCTGTGCCTTCTCGGAGGTCACATCTCCCACAGGCTTCCTGCGAAAGTCAGGTCAACTCATGCGGCTCTTCTTGCTGCACCATCTCATCACATTCACTGTCCTGGTTGGTTCTTGAATCTCGTCCAATGTGCGATAATCGAAGGCGACACCAAGTGCATGAGCGCCCTGGTTGATGCCACTGCTGACGCCGGCACTAGACATGGCATCACAAAAACTGGCAGGCCTCCGCAGGAAAAAGAAGTGCCCCGGCACCTAGCTCGAAAAGCCTCCGTGTAGGACGAGAAAGCGTCCAGGGTCCACAACACAAAAAGGGCTCGCGTGGAGTCCCGTCAATCCTTGGGTCGTCTACTTGCCTCCTTCGGCTATGGTGTCGACCATCACCAATCGGGCGGCCTTTCTCGGACATGACCCTTGAGCTAGCCGCACTTCGCAGGTCTTGCTGCCGCCTGTCGGTTTGCCGGCAGCTTCCAGAAAAGCGTTGTTGCCCAGAGCAAGGCATGCGGCCTGGGTTAGAAATACTGAAGCGGTCGGCGGCACCACCCTAATCTAAGCCGATGGGCAGCCCACATGCTGATTGAGAGTCGCAAACCTGAGCTGCACACCAGAGTGAGTGCTACGCCAGCACATCGCCTGGACGATCTACGTGAAACTGCACGATGTTGAGATATCTGCAACTTCTGGCCTCCTTCCCGTCTTGTATCTCTGCATATCCATGGTATGAAATCAATGGCAAGAACGAAAGGACAGCATGTGCCAAGACTCCTATGGCAAAGGGTGCTACTCCCGTTTGTACATATTCGTTGGAGTAGCCGTCGACTTGCTGAAATGAATGCTTTTCGCTCTCTCCAATCTGCATGATCAGCAAACGCTATGGTGTCATGTGCTCCCGAAGCAAAGCAGCGACTGCGAATCGCACGTCAACCTCTGCAGGTCGAGTCGAGTCTGGACATTTGAGGCGCAAGGCCAACGGGATTTTTTTGCTTGTAGCATCTTGCCATATCTTGCCGTCGCACCCCTGCAAGACTGTGAGACACCCTGCTCTGCCCCAAAAAGCCTAATGCTTCGGTCGGACTGGCCAACAGCGCTGCACCAGGTCGACGGGGGAACTTAGGTCTGCCTTCAAGAGACCTGTGCGCTCGGCTGCTGTTGAAGCGGTGTTTCACAGGTAGCTGACAGTCATGCATCCTGCACGCAGAGCGCGTGCAAAGTTCAGCTTGTAAAGCTCAGATCCAACCTGGCTCGCAGAACTGGCCAGAATGACATCACAGGAACATGAAAGTGAAGGGCATGCCGGGTGCTCTTTCCGATGGTTTTCGCTTCGTGTGCCCGTGCCACGGAGCCATCCTGGCCGCAGTCTCCAGGCCACGGCTCAGCTTCTCATGTGCACCAATGAAACGGGGTCTGAGGACGTTTCGGGCCTTCATTTTCCGCTCCTTTACCCGAAAAGTGGGAATCTCGGCCTCGGTGGCACAAGACGAAGTCGCTGGAGTGCAACGCAAGAGCAGTAACCCAAGGTCTGTGCCGCCTGTGTTAGCTCCAAGACGTGATGACAACCTCAGTTGGACCACGCAGGTCTGCCCGTGCAGATCAGGTCAGTCCGTCAACAGCTCTCGCTCTGCAAGTAACACCAAGGCTGTTGCGGCCGAAGGAAACGACCAGCCTCATCCATACATCCATACATTTACATGCCCACATATATGCGTACATTGACATACGCTTACTACGCTTACACCATCTATCACTATATGCTTGTGTGTCTGATGCCTGAATGTGCACATTCAACCGAGCTGGCTACTGAGGCCTCGGCTCGCCTGACCATCCCCTCCACCAGCTCCCTGAACGCACGTAAGTTGAACTTCTCAAAGCATGACAGAAAAGTGAAAGCAAAGAATGCTGCATAGCTGTAGAATACAAGAGCATGCTGGGGCAGTTCTGCAGAATGTGGTGTAGACTTGACGCCAAAACGTCCGAGCGCCGAGCCTCCCCGGCTCCGGCCGATCTCAACTCGCAGCCCTCCCGCGGCTCCGAGCCTTGGCCAGCCCACAGCCCACAGCGACACGCACGCACGCACGCACACAGACCCCCCCCCCCCCCCCGAACAAAAACATGACATGGACCTTTCAACACAAGCTTTCACCTCTTCTCTGGTCGGCTGGATGACCCCTCCCGCAAGCTCCTGGCAGACCAGGCCACCGGGCTCAAACCAGCCGTTCTGCGTCTGGCCGTCGTGAAACCAAAGCCAACGCCTGCACTCACCGAGACCGCTGTCGATCCACTGTATCCTCGCTCACACCTTCGCCCACCAAAGTGCCAATCTCCCAGCTCCTCTGCTGTTGCTGGCCTGGCCAAGAGTGTCACCACTCGAGTGAGGCGTCATGCTGCGTATTTCATTTTGAGCAGGGCCAAACTAGAACGGCCACCGTGAAAATGGAACAGCTGAGGGAGCTGGCCGTGGTGCACCTGTGAACAGTTCCGAGGCAAGCCGCCCTATAACAGATGTTCCAGGGTTTCCTCGCGTGCTGTTTGCTTGCCGACCTCGTGGACGGTGCCGACTTCTCTGACCTTGCTCTGGGCCCCACCACGGGGAGCAGTCAGACATTCGCAGAAGCACGGATTCCTGGAGTCCGAGCTCGCGGACTTTGGTCAAACCAACGATACCGCTGCCAAAAGGCAAAACATACAACCTTAGCTTCAGGAGCCATGCCCAGGCCACGCAAGGAATCCCATCATGAAACCAGGCTGTTAGGCTTCGACTGCCAAGGATTTTGAGCTCGCTTCATCTTGGCGTCGCGATGACCAGCGGAAAAGATGGTAAAGGCCCCGGCAACAAATGCGCATGCAAGGCGTCGCAAAGCCTCCAAGCCTCGTTGCTGAGCACTCGCACGGGTTCATGTGTTCCGTCTAGATGCAGGCCGTTGACGTCTCGTTACCAACTGCAGCATTGCATCGAAGCAAGATCACGTGTCACGGCGATTTCGGAACTGTGAAAAAGCTGCTGTGCCGGTGCTTCGACACAAGGCTTGCAAGTGCAGAGGAGCTGCGATGTGCTCGCTGCTGCAGGTCAACATTGCGTACTTCAACCTGTTGCCTACAACCAGTCATTGCTGCTTGAACCAGAAAAGAAATGCTGGCATAGGTGGCACAGGCAACAGCCCAGTCGTTTAGGGTAGTGCGCTGCCTAGGACATCAGGCACACGACACGAACCCATCGTGTTCAGCGGAAGTTGATCCAAATCTTCCATTACCAGGTGTTGCAGAAGCTCTGAGGTCATGTGGGTCTCTCTTCAAACCAACCATTGCAGCCGGCTGCGTAACACACGAAGGCAACAGTTGATATGAAATTGCCATTCAATGGAGAGCTTCCTGTGTTGCATATCTAAGATTCCCAGGCCTTGATGTTCTTTGTGACAACTTGTAATCGTGGCGCCCAGCGGTAACAGCAAGAAACAGACGAATGCACGAACTTCAGAAGCCCTTTCTCTCTCCCGTCGGCTCGGGTCTGGAGACCATTCATTCAGCCGTTGCGCGACGATCCTAAAGAAGCAACCCAGCCAATCTGCGGCGGGCCCAAGACTTCGCAAGAGCAGGGACAATCTTAAAAGTTCTGCTCTGCAAGCTTTGCGAGCTCTCCCTTTTGGGAGCCTCGAAAACCAGATGGTACCAGAAAGCTGCTTGTCAACATACTTGACGACGCGAAATCTTCTCTTAACCCAGCTGTCAACTCTCAGCTCTGCAGTATGCGCGCGAATTTCGCACCTCAAAATCGCCTCGGCTCCTCTGAGCCTGGACCAGCCCTCCGGCTACCTGGCTCAAAATTGCCGTCTTCTCTGTGCAGGAACACAGAACGATTTCTCGGACTCCTGCCTGATCGAGTGATCGAGAACTTCTTGAAAAGGCTTGAACTCCATCGAGACACTGGCAGGCAGAAACGTCACGCGTAACAGCCTCAGGAGATCCGAGAGCTGCGGCCTCCTCGCTTGGCGGTTGAGTTCTCGCAGGAACTCACGGGAGTTCCAGTCCTGCCACTACATTCTCTTGGCTTGCAACATGCAGCAACGCTCCTGGCCAAGCTTCATGGATTCCAGAGATCGATTCCTTGCGCCTTGAAACTGCAATGTGTCCTGGTTCTTTTGCAGATGCTTGCTCCGCTGCAGTCTTTCGCCTGCGGCGCCCTGGAATCAAACATCACAGTCCGGTCACAACACACCGTGCAGTCGTGCAAGCACATTGACTGCCCTCTAAACAAATCTACGTGCATCGTGCAAGTCCGATGGAGCAGGGCATTTTAGAGCGCTGCTGATGCAAAGCCCGGGCCGTGTAGGCCAGCAGAGGCCAGCAGATCGAGGTGAAACTGTTTGGCTGCGCGCCAATGCTCATGCAGAGGCTGGTACCTTTGAGCCTCCCTTTCATGTCACCTCAGCGCTCCATCTGAAGGCAGCGTCGTGGGAGAGGGGCCTGAAGCTCATGCTACCAGCCACTGTCCTCTACTGTACGGCCAAGCAAAAGGTTTAGGTGCCGTGCTTAGTGATGGCCCTCTTCCCCAGGACTTCGCAATGCCACTATGCAGCCTACAGCAGCTGCGCCATGCAGCGTTCACCAGCTGTTGGACATCAGCTGGAGACCAAGCTGTCGGCCGCCTGCTTCCTGCGAATCAGTTGCAAGGGGGGCCGGGGCAGTCGTGCAGCACCGGCAGGTCCCACACTTTTCGTGGGCAAGAGCATGCCAAACACAAAGCTCACAGCGTGATAGAACATCCCAGTCAGGACCAGTAACCCTTTGTAATCCCCTACGGTTTTGTGATTCAGCTTGAGGTGCTGCTACCCGGGCCTCGGCTTTTTCTTGGGACGCTTCTTGGCAGGCTCCTCGGATGGAAGCTGTCCAGAAGACGTCTCTCACACAAAACCCTCGTTTGGGTTCACGATTTCGGGATGTTCAATCCATCAAGAAGCGATAGTGTGAGATTGCGCTTCACCAGTTCCTTATGCCGATACCTGCAATTATCAGCTGTCCTTCTCCTCCTTGGCATCCTCTTCCGCCTCATCGTCGGCCGTGCCTAAGAATGATACCACACATCGCACTCTCAGACTCTCCGGTGTACTACCTAGGCTTTCCTGTCGCACGTGCCTCCTTGGTTGAGAACTTCGTCTAAATCAAAGTCCACCTCGAGGCTGGCCAGCTTCTCCTGGGAAGATCCCAAACCGAAAGTAAGGATTAGCAGGATCCCTTCCAAAAGAGTGGGGTCCTTGAGCTTTCGCTTTTGTCGCTGCTGCCTGCTTGCCTGCGAGGTACATCTCTAGCTGATGCACAATGATATGCAGGGTCAGTGACGCCTGCTGCTCTGTGAGCTGCGGAATGGACACGCCGTTGACCTCACAGCCCCAACACTGAAAATACTCGAACTCATGACTCGCCGGCACCTCAACCATTGGTCGGTCGTTGTCTTGTATGACTTCCTTCTCTCGCCTCTCTTTTCGAGTGTCCTGTAGAAGCGAGCAATGCAGCAACAGCCACAGAAGCCAAGGTGTGCACGTTCCACTCCAGCACTGTTCAGGAGGAAGCTGTGAACAAGCTTTACTTAGACTTGTCCTTGGGTATTCTTCGCCAGCCAGCGAAGAGCTTCTTGTGACACTGCCAGCAAGGTTTCTAAAAAGCTTCTACGGCATGCGCACGAAGCCAGACTGCTCCGCAGGTGTATCCGTGTATCCACCTTCTCTCTGGGCAGGAACTCACACACAAGGGACTTGTCAAACAGAAGGTACCTGAGCTTCAACACGAGAATGAAAGCTGGCTGCTGAAGCTGTGGACAAGAGAAACTAAGGCGGGATCTTGTTCATGGTAGATGCCACAATCTTGGCCACGCTCTCCTCTTTGAACTCGATGAAGGCGTAGCCCTAGAGCACTGTCAGGCTTGGAAAGTCCGCCAAGAAGAAGAATCCCATAGCCGTCGAACCCCTGATAGAACTGGTCTACAAGCAGAAGTACTATTAATAGAATTAGCATTAGTATTATTATCATTAGTGTTAGTATTTCGTACTACGATTATTATTGATATTATCAGTACTATCACTAATCGTATGACTATGATTATTATTAGTCGTGGAACCCTTCTAAGATCCCTTTCAGTTTCTGGGACCCCTCTGGGAGAGCCGGCCTTGGAGCCTCCGGTCTTGCGGGAGCGCGCCAGGCGCATGCGAGTGACTTGGCCGAACTGGGAGAAGTACCTGCCGGGGTAAGAGAGGGTTTCGGGGGCTTAAGGCTTAGGGCTTAGGGTTTAGGTTTAGGGTAAGGGGGGTAAGAGAGGGGGAAAGAGGTGTGGGACCCAAAATCAGAGCTGAGGAGTGCGCTTTCTCATCTGCGGCTCGAAGAAGCCGTTTGGAATGTGGCCTGAGTTTCAGGGCCGATCTCTAGATTTTTGACGAGAGCCGTTTCTTCAGTGCTTCGCCCAGGTAAATCACGCCCTTGGGCTCCTTCTCCTCTTCCTCCTCCTCCTGTCCAGATATGGCTCACGCCGCCAATACCCATGAACCCACGAAGCGTCAAACGTGACTCCAAGACCTCCAGGGCCTCTTTCAGGCGGTTCGCTTTGGTTCTTCGAGGCCTCAGCGAGGCGGACAGCCTCCGTCTTCTCGTCTCTTATGCAGATCGCTGCCAGTTTTTGCTTTAGCTTTCGTGCTTATGTAGAATGCTCGACCGCTAGATAACTCTCTACAATCTCACCTGTGGCTTGTGGTTTGTCCTTAGAGTGAGGTTGAGATCGTGGGCTGCGATGTAACTCCAAGCGCGCGGCTTCTCCACGGCCTGGGCACGGCAAGCATGAAGCAAAAGAGCGGACTCGGGAGTCTTCTATGCCGGTGGCTTTGTCGTCAGCTTCTCCCTTCGGGCAACATTAAGCAAAGATGATCCGGTTCGCTCCCAAGGCCAGTCGCTTTGCGAGAGGCAACAAGAAGCGACGTGCTTTTCACATCTTTTCGGTGGCAACACCGGTGCTCGCCAGCAGCCAGGAAAACTACACATTGGAACAAGATAAAGGTTTGCATGGCGAAGCAACGTACCCGTACCAGCTTTGGGACAGCGCTTGCATTCAGATCCATGAGCGGAAGCTGGTGAAGTGCCAGCACGGGCAAGCAGCTGCTGTTAAATCAAATGGCTCCTGACTTCTTCCGAATGATTTGCAACAGGTCCTCCTTTACCATTCCACAAGTCGGATAATTTATCCTCGTATCCGGATTTCCAACCAAGACGCGCTCGAAAGAGGACTTCGTGATGGGTCGGAACAGAACCCCAGAAGCCAACGGATTGGAGTCAGACTTGAGAAGCATCTGCATGGAGTCATCCAAAGGCCCCAAGCACTTCATGTCATGACATATGAATCCAAGGGCCTTCGGGTTCCGCTCTCTGAGTCGCGATGCGAGCTCCGAGAAGGCCGTCGGACCTACTTCAGAGCTGCAGAGAAGGATCCCATACGCTGGCTGCACCGTCAAAGCCATTCTCATCGCATCCACAGTGCTGACTGCCAAGTCGAAGTCGAAATGGGCCCGTTTCAAGACCTCCTGCGTCTGGAGCTGCAGCTGGAAGTTGTTAATGGCTTTGGTCGACTCGGCGACAGCGGTAGCGGCAGCACTCTGCATGGAGGATGCTGATGGCGCTGGCTCCAGTACAAGCACACGAGGCTTCGAAAATGCCATATATCGCAAACGGGATGCGAAGCCGATCCCTCCGTTCCGAGGTCCTGTTGGGTTCTCGCTGAACACCAGCTCACCTCGCGCAAACATCAGGAGCCAGGGAGCTTCCCGAACACCACAGTTTGCGACTAGGGGATTAGTATTCTTGCCAGCTGAATGAATGGCACCAGCTTCTGCCAAGTCTGTTACGAAGAAGAGCACGTTGTCTCCGGCTGCCTTTAGCTCAGACCAGGCAGCTTCGGCCATGACATGGGCATGGGAGCTGGAGCTGTACTGAGACTTCCGAGCCCAGCTGGCCACCACCAGCACAACCATCAACTGGCCACCCTCAAGGCTCCCGGCTCGGCTTGCCACTTCATGGCATTGGATGTACTGTAAGGAAGAAGGTGGGTTCAGAACCACGGGTTCCGAGTAGGGCTTTCCTGGGTGTGGCTGAGGCCACAGAAAGCCTTCCTTCAGAGCCTTGTTAATGGGCAGCCTTCCAAGTTTTGGATGGACCTTGTTCGCCAAATTCTGCTTGAGAAGGTGGTCATGTGTGAAATCGATGCGGCCTTCTGCAAACTGCTTGAAGGCCTCCAGTGGAAGCCTCATGGTTCCTTCAGACGCGGACTTCTTGAGCTTTGCGGCTGGGGCCGAGGTTTCATGCAGACTTGCAGCAGTTGTACTCAGACAAGAACTGCTGTTCTTGAGTGTCTTGTCAAGCAAGCTCGTGCTTTCTGTCATGATCACGCATGAAGTATCGAGAGAAGCCTGCGAAGACAGATTGATCGTACCATTAATCTCTAGAGGATTCGTTGCGGCTGGCAATCCATGTCCACGGGAGGACAGCTTCCAGACTTCACCAACATAGAAGGTGTAGCTTACACCTCCGGAGTTGAAATCCAGTGAAGTCGTTCCGCTTGCCGGGTTGTATGTGACCACAAGTTCTGGGCAAAGGCGCAAGCTTAATGGATCAAGCGAGGTCGTGTCCCCAGCCAGTGCCGCACGGCTCATGCGAGTTTTAGAACCGTTCGGCCCAGACGTGGTCACAATGACATGGGTCGGCGTCACTTCGTAGGAGCCTCGACAACCCGTTCCATCAGGTGGAGACTCAAAGAGGCCTATGCCCCATTCATCCATGGCCCCCAGAAGTCTCGTGCGACCGCGATCGCGCTTGGGGTCGTCAGGGCTGGCAGAACGGAAATGTGGAGAAGTCTCCGAGACAGCAGTCTTGACGCTGAAGACGGAGCGTGCATAAGCAAGGGCACTGAAACGTCTCGATTGATGGTGCGATGACACGCAAACCGCCTTCTTGCCTGAAGGGTAGCTGGCGACGCCGCTACCGTCCTCTTGGCATTGCACCGCGGCAAATCCTTCTGGGTAGGAGAGGTTGACCAAGGGAAAGATAGGCCCCAAATCTGAACGAAGATCGCCATGCTGTGCAGACCATCTGGGATCATTAGGACGGCGAGGCTCAAATTGCTCGCCGGCAGCTCGCCGTCTGGGCTCAAGGATTTTCGACTTGGACATCAGTCCAAGGGCATTTCCATGGACGGGTGCCTCGAACTACTCTAACTTTCAGATTCCAGGGCCACGATGCTTTGGGCCCTACACCATGAGCCATGATGAGCCATGCACCCCTTCGCAGCTCTCAATGCAGCTCTGCGCGACGCTCCGCACTCTCAGCTGCCCGGGCCCCGAGCCTCTACCGTTTCAACGGCCTCTGCGGCCTCCTCCTCCACTCCTTCGGCCTTGCCGTGCGACAGGCCCCGTAGCCTCTTTTTGGTGCACTGGCGCCGGTCCTCTTCTTCCGCAGACTCAGGCTCCTGCTCGGCCATGTGAAACTGACTGGGCTGTGTTTCACCCTGACTTCCGTGCCAGTCCTGTGCCTGTGCAGGGGCTGCCTTTGCCTTCGGCGCTTTCTTCGATCCCTTCTTCCCCTGTGAGCAACAGGAGCAGAATAGAGGCAGATTCCGGCGCTACTTTCGCCTTCTTGGCAGACTTTGCCTTTGGCATCGCGGGAGGCCTGCGCCTCACAAGCCAAGTCATCTGTGCTGCTATCCCCGACTGAGCACTTCAGAATGCGCGATTAAAAATTGAAGAGCCTCCAAGGAGGACGGGATTGGCCAAACCTAGCTTATGTGAGGATGACTAGGAATCAGCAGTGGGTTTGAGTAATCGCTGTGCTGTTCTGTGAGAAACTCGCATATGTGGCTGCAAGACTTTCTAGTTCGGTCTGCTTGAGTTGAAGCGGCTGCGCGAGAGCAACCAATCTGTTCGAGCTCTCACAAGGCACCCGGAGTGGAGCGCGAACCAAGCCAGTACAATCTGGTACTTCCGTCACCGTCATGCAGGCTGAAATCCTGCTGAAGTTGGAAACAGCATACTTCAAATCCACCTCCTCATCTGTTTCTTCAGCAAGTGACCCAGGGCCTCGCAGCAAAGTTCGTGGTGCCAAAAGTAAGCCAGTAAAAGCAAATGACAGTTTCACAGAGATTCATAGCCCTTGCCTTTTGCTTTGCAGCAGAAGGCCGGGTAGTCGAAGCTAGAATGAGCCTACAGGTGCAAGAGCCTGCAGAACTCAAGAGCTCGCCACGAGGATCTGGCGTGCCTTCCTGACCTCTTTCTGACCCTGCCACTTTGCCTCGGTGTCTCGCATTGTCTCGGAAGCCCTCAACCCGTCGGCAGAGCACCTCAGGCTTCGCATTGTTGATGTCCACAGTGTGATCCAGCCTGATGCTGCAATCTCCGTCATCGGAAGCTTTTGCTCCGAGATCCGGCATAGAAAGCGTGGCAGGTTTGCAGTGAATCTTCGTTGTAGAACAAAGGCTTCCCCAAGAAGTCAGTATGATACTCTGGTGCAAGCACCACCTCGCACACGAACGAATTTTGAAAGCTGTCTACCAGGACGAAGGTGGCAATGACGCCTCTTCCGGTTCAGCAGCAGTACAGCAAGAGGAGGCCTTAAGAGTGCAAAACGTGCAACGCGCCAGCCAATCTCATGCGACATACTGGGCGCAAGTGGGTGCCAGACCAGTTTGGCACCCATGGGCCTCAAGCTGCCGCACGTCCCAGCGCAGGCCTTGCCACGCAAATCTGTGATGCTCCAACAGTTGAACCCCGAAAACGAGACAGCTGCCAAGACCGCTCGAAGGCATTTTGCATGGCACTTCCCGCTTGGTAGGGACGCCTTGACTACTGTGGAAAATTGGGCGTTCATGTCCACTTTCGGCCGCTAGTCACTGTCGGAACTTCTTCGCTACCTGCAGCTTATGCTGTGCACACGACTGCAAGATGTTTGGCATGTCAAGGCCCGTTGGCTGGTGAGCCGTAAAATGACTACGACTAGCTTGCTGTATGCATGTCGGAGGCGATTGCAGGGCAGGCAAGACCGCGCCGCACGTGCTCTAAACATTTTCCGGTGGCATTGCTCGTTACCTGCTCCAGCACATACATCTGTGCTTGGTAGAACAAGCATTCCCATGGCTGATAGCTCGGCAACCTCAATGGCTACTGCTATATCGAGCACGGGCTTCAAATAGGGTGGACTCCATGTCAGCTGGACCAGTAGATGCAAAAGGAAACGATGACAAACTGGATCCAAAATAAAGTCTGCTTAACAAGGCTGTCTGCAAGAAAGGTTCTGAGGACCGAGGTTTCAGCATGGAAACGGAACTTCCAAGGATCAGAATCTCAACGTGCTGGTCGCACACGAAGAAGTAAGGGGGAACGCCTGCAACGGAGATGGTGCCTGCGAGAGATAGTGAATCATCGTTCATCCGAGGATCTTCGTGTGCGCGCTCCGCCCGCACGTCAAAAATCCTTGTGCTGCGCTTGTGAGCCCCTGCAAGGGGCGACGGGCCACTGCTGTGCTTGCTAGTGAACGTGAACCTGGTTAGTGCTCTGTGGCACGTAAAGGCGCGAGACTCCACACAAAGACCGGCAAAACTCTCACAAACGACGGAAGCAATAAGAACACCCAGAAGTACAAAGCATGAATTTCTGAGGCGAAAGGAGATCTCGCAAAATTGCTCAGACTCCGGTCCTGTTGCCGTCACTACTTGGGGAAGATCGTGCAGTCTGGCACTGCCTGTCGTCCCATCGAAGAGCTTCTCTGGATCCATGGCCTGTCTTGTGAGAAACCAGGTGGCTTCGGCTTTCAGATACTGTCACACTGAGCTTGGAGCGGTGTTGACACATTGACCGCACGAGCAACTGTGTCCTTCGACGGCGACTGCGGCCCCATCCCAGCGACAATATCCAGACAAAACCTTCAAAAGGAGCTCTGGACTCAATCGAACTGCTCCCGAATCCCGGAGGATGCACCGACCGGGAACCGAGCAAAGCAATACAAAGCAATACTACCCGGCTAAGCCGCGAGCTGAAGTGGCACCAGGCCACACATCATGAGGTAGATCCACCTCTGCTTGTGAATCGGCGATAGTAGGCGTGCGTGGAAACTCATGAAAAACATAGATGAAGTTTTACTTCCGACTACAGTATGCGACATCACCAAACCAAAAATGCGAAGCTGACTGTTGCTGGACTTCCAGACCGAGGAGCTGCAAATGTAAGATCAGTCGGCACGAAGCGATCTACCTGGCTGCAATGCTTCCACGATTTAGGCTTGGATCGAATAGCGATGCATCTGTCGCCGGAGTGCCAGTGGCAGAAGCAATCAAAAGGCTCTCGGCACAGGCACTCGCACACGACTTGGCTTGCAGGGTGGGGCTTCCGCACGGCATATGACACCCTTGGCTGCATAAATGCCAACGCACCAGTATGGAACGATCTCGTCGTCAGAATCAGTGTCATCCTGCAACATGCCACGCAATCTGGCCCCACTCTTTAGAACACTGAGATACATGTCCGGCCTGCGAGGCCCATTGCCGGATGCGAGGGCCAGTGCCCCACCTGCTAGGCTCACGAGATCTCACGAATGGCTCATTGCATCTTTCTGCCCCCTTTGAGGCCCTGGCCCTCTGGTCTGCCTCGGGGGCGGTGGAGCCACCCGCTCGGAAGCCCTCTCCCGCCTCGGTGGAAGTGCCGCCACTTTGCAGCTCCCTTCGACTCCCTTGAACCCCATTTCCGGGTCGCAGGCTCATCGCTGTGAAGCGAAAGCTCCGAGTGCGACTCCGATTCGGAGACGGATGCCTCGACACACTGTGGTGGTCGGACCGCCAGAACATACGATCAGCGTATCGTTACATTTCAATCGAACCTACAAGCGGCATTGCAGTGCTCAAGGCATGGCTCCATGCAGCGAAACAGGATCCGCGCCTCTGACTCTGACTCTTCCTCTTCGCTGCTGCTCCTCATTTTCCACTCGGCGGCTGCTCAACATCCAATGGCACTTCTGAGGACACCGTGACAATCCTGTGCTCTGAGCCTCCCGACTCAACCTTCCTCTTCGGCGGTCGATTCCGCATCCGGGGATTCCGCTGCCGACGCCCTTGTCGACGCGGTGCCTGGCAAAAGAGGCGACAGCTTAGTGCCTCGTCACTGCCTTTGTCGGATATCCAGGTTTCCGCTCCCTGCCTTGGGACGCTGCTGCACTGAGCCTTAAAGACACTGCAAGACTTTAGGCAGAACAGGATGTGAAGTTGAAGCTGCAGCTATGACTGTGGCACCCTACATGCTCAATTCTTTGCTTTTGGGGAGCCTTTCATCATCAGGTCGTGAAGCAACTGCTCCGCATACGCCCGCGCCTGCTGGCAAACACAATCTAATCATTGACCCAAACCTAGTCGGGTTGGCTCCGATGACTCGCCCAGGAATGTCCGGCCTCTTGACGATGGCCACAGATCAACAGCACATCTGATGTGCTGCTGTCTCCCTGGAAGAAGCAGAAGGTTCCGGACTCCTCGCAAAGCTTTTTGCTGTGAAGCGGCAGCGCTTTTGCTTGAGGCTTGGTTGACCCTGGTGCCACACAGTGACTCCCTGCATTTCCAGGCCTTTTCGACTTCGCGCAGCGAGGCAGCTTTGGTCAAGCCGCGCATCTCCTCCGGCACCTTCCAGGGAGTGGCCCGAGTCTCCCGGACGCCACGTTGTCTGGCTTCGGCGGACCTCCATTTCCATCACATCGTCCCGACCGGCTATGTCGATGTTCACTGGGCCGGTGCGTTGCCAGGTGAGCCACATGAGGTAGTCCCTGCAGATACGCGGCTGGACTGCAGCTTCAGGAGGGCTTGGATGCACCCGAAGCGCACCTGGCCCGCTTCCGTTCCTCCAAGGTGCCGGCCATGTAGGCTACATTGCCAACCTCAAATCGGCAGAGCTCAACTCGAGCAGGCTGCCCTTTCAAGGCCCCCACGTATTCTAAGACGCAGCCGCTGGCTCTCGCCTGCTTCAGAAGAAAACATCCGCATTCAGCAAACCCCTTGGCACAAACTCCGCCGGCTGGGCCAGCTTCCGCCTTGTCGCACCATCCTGCTGACACGGCTTTCTTCCTCTCTGCTCCCTCTCTGAATTTCTCGTTTGGATGGCTCTTGGACATCGCACGAGCTTCCGGGACTTTTTAAAGTCGGCGAATGCTTTAATAATGAAACTCAAAGCATTTTTTGAGTTACATCATGTCACAAGAGCCTCGCACAAAGATCAATCCATCTGGCACCCTCTGATTCTCTACATCACATCCTATGTGCTGAGGATTGGGGAGTGAGAAGAGCTGATGTTGCAATGCTGCATAACTGACGATGATGAACATCTACGGTCATTCCCGTCATCATCCCGGCAATCGACTGCTTCAACATGCATTGCCTCGGTTCTTGACCTGCTCTTGCTGCAGGCATAAAAAGCAACGCCCGGGAACCTTGCCTTGCCAAGTGCAAAGGAGAGCTCGTCTCCCGGAAGGGGCATTGTGTCAACCTGCAAATCTCTGATGAGCTTCGTTCTCTTCCGGCGGTAGCCGCAATCGTTTTTATCTCCCTCGATCCCCTATCTGTACCATTGCCCAACCACGGCTTCGGTCCCTATCCAAGGTCGCTTCGAAGCTGGGGCAGGGACGCCCCATGGGCCATCATACTGGAAATCACCAACCTCGGCGTGTGATGCCAACCGCGCTCTTGTTTGCGGTTTCGGGGTCTGTTCCGCTCCCTGACCATCACCCACTGCTGCGCAGCAAACGCGTCACACATGCAAGAATGCGTAGCCCAGGTTCCGACTCCGCGTGTGAAGAACCTGGCCGAGGACGCTTTTTCTTCTGCCCACCAACTTCTGGAAAGGCTGCACCCCTCGGTGCCAAACACCTGCGTGAGCACAATGTCCGAACCTATTCAAAGCTCTTAAGCCCTCGCTGAACTCGTCAAAGCTGCTGAGGGATCTTGGTCTCGACTGCGCCCATAACCTGCTCACGCCGCTTGTTGTACTGTAGTAGGAGTGGACTTAGAAGATGAGTGCAGAAGCACAAACATGCGCAGACACAGGTGTGCAGACACAGACACAGAGACACACACACACACACGCGTGCAAGTACGTGTTTGGTTCAATCTATCATCGGCCTCTTGCTCTTTCTCGCTTGCTTGCTTGCTTGCTTGCAGGGCGTTTGGGCACGGGGGGAAACCCCCAATATCCCCCAATGCCCTGCGCACACGCGCTACGCCAGTGTCCGAGTCCTTCTTTGTGAGACTTGAGAGGCTCAGTTCTTTGCTCTTTCTCTCTCTCTCTCTCTCTCTCTACCGGCACTGGGGTCCGGGGGATGTCCGCCCCCTTCCCCCGCATGCGAGCGCGCAGCCGCGGTTCATTGCGCGGAGAGACCCTCCTGTGGGTATTGCCACAGAAGGCTTGGCTACACAGGGAGGCCCCCGGAGGGTGGCCTTACATTGTATGGCCTTTGAAAGAAAACCATCCCCCTGCTGACATGCAAACGAAAGCTGACCATGCGAACATCAGGCACTGAA